CCCCCCCCCCCCCCCCCCCCCCCCCCCCCCCCCGCCCCGGCTGCCCTGTCCTCTCCCTCTTCACTCAGTACACGCCCTACACACTGGCTGGAGGCAAGGTGTGGGATGAGCAGGAGAGAAACGCATATGCAGACAAAGGTAAAGAGCGCAGCCTGCCCTGTCTCCGCAGTGACAGCTGGGACCCCTCCCCTCCTGATTGCCCGATTCAGGACTAACACCTGGTAAGTCCTGTCCCAGAGGACGAGAAGTACCGACCAGTCCCAAACGGAACCTGAGTCAACACAGTGAATGCCTGCTGGGGCCGGGCACTGGGCAAAAAAGCCTAAAAGACACAGTTCCTCTCCCAAAGTTGCTCACAGTCCTGTCACGGTTTGGGGGAAACCAATCTTACAATACAACGTACTACGTGAACCAAAGGTGGAAGCTATTCGCCAGAGAGACAAGGACAGCTTTCCAAAGGAAGGGACATTTGAGCTGGGTTCAAAAGGATGAATAGGAGTTGGCCAGGCAACAGTGGGCATTCCAAGCAAAGAGACAACTTGAGCAAAGCAAGGAAATGAAGAAAGCTTTGCATATTCATGGGAGACAAGTAACTTTGTGGTTAGGGTTGGGGTGAGCAGGTGGGAAAGTGGGGTAGACCCACAGGCCTTAGTAATGAATTATTTAGTTGCCCATGGACTATTTTTATTTTTTGCTTATTGAGATATGAGTTGCATATGATAAAATAAGCCCATTGTAAGTATGTAGTTTAATGAATTTTCAGAAATTGGCCAAGTTGTACAATCCTAGCGCCTCATCTTCTTCCTCCTCCCGCCATCTCATTTCTCTGCTGTTTGGTACCCGGTGTTCGACTGCATCAAGGCCTACGCTCCTGGCTTCAAGGGCTCCATGATGGGCAGGGACTTCCTCACACCACCTGATTTGGAGGGAATCTTCGGGCTTCCTGGAGGGGTGAGTACAAGACCGGGGGGGTCCCTTGTCACATTCTCCTCCCTGCACCCCCACCCCCTGGCATGCCCGCTCAGCTCTCTCTTGTCCCTCCACACCCAGCCTGTATCAGGAAGGGCGGATGGTGCAGAGACCCCAGTGGAAGGGCACAGAGACGTAGTCCGACCGAGGGAGTGGGGAGGGGTGAGGAGGTCAGACAAGAGAGACAGTGCCTGACGAGCAGGTCACCAGGCCCATGGCCCCCACTGTCTGGACATCCACGGCCCCCTCTCCCATCTGGCTTTCTTCAGAGGGAGCTCCCCTCTTAAGGCAGCACGTCCTTGGACTTGCCTCTCTGATGTATCAAAACCTCACTGACACTGGGGACAGAGGAACCAGCTAGGAGGCCAGGTCCATATGGCAGCCACCAGCTTCATGTGGCTCTTGGTGGCTCCCGTGGGGTGAGGCCAAACGGAGGTGGGCTGCACATGCCCCCTGCCCACCAACCTTCAGAGGCTTAGGATGAAAAAAAAGGCAACACACCTCATTAATAATTTTTATACTGATCACATGTTAAAATGACAATGTCTTGGATCTATTAGGTTAAATAAAATATATTATTGACATTCATTTCGCTGGTTTCTTTTTAAATTTTAATGTGGCTCCTAGAAAATAAAAATTGCATATGTGGTTCATAGTATATTTTTATTGGACAGCGCTGGTCCAGGAATAGAGCGCAGGAGACCAGGCAGTGAGGACTGAATGGAGCGGAGGGATATGGGAGGCGTGGGGCAGGCAGAACTGAGGAGTCTCGGTACCTTGTGCTTGCAGAGGTCGGGGCAGAGGGACGGGAAGGGTCCACCTGGAGGCCCAGGCAGGGAAGGTGATGCCGCCCTCCGAGGTGGGGAAGGTGGGAGAGAGCAGTCTCAGCAGGGGAGGATGAGGTCAGCTTGGGACATGCTGCGAGGGTTAGCCGGAAGGACATCCCTGTGGTGACGTCCAGCAGGTGTCAGTCTTCTTGTCCAGACCTGGCCCTTAAGTCTGACCTTCCCCCGACCCTTGCTCCCCACGTCCTGGCTGCTTGGACCCAGGCCAGGGGAGCAGAACTGAGTTCGAGTCCCCTACCCCTTGTCTGCCATCTACAGTGACTCTGCTGGGACATGAACCCCTGGGGGCCCAGGCTCTTGGCCAAGGCTACCAAAATAAGTCAAATCCTCCATTTTTCAAACACAGTGAGGAGGATTTATTGATCTCAGCAAAACCCTTAAAATCTCCCTCTTCTTTCCCCTTTCAGTTCCTTCCCACTCTGAAGACGCTCCTCACCTTTCTTTCCTCCTGAAAAGTGCCTCTGGAAAACTCCATCCGCGGCCCAAGGACATGCACCTGTTCTCTCTCTTCCCCTCCCCTTTCTGCTTCATAAGAATCCAAGAAAATATGCTGGAAGGAGAAGAACCTTCCTGGGAGGGGAGGAGGGGGAGAAACTCGCAAAGGCCGTAAAACTCCTAATACTCCTACGTTAACCACTGCGGCCCGCCTCCCGCAGAACATCTTCCACTGCGCCATGACCCTGGACCAGCCCTACTTCGCCCGCCCTGCACCCCCGTACTCCAGCTACCACGGGCCCCTCCAAGACCTGTATCTCTGCGGAAGTGGTGCCCACCCGGGTGAGTGCCCCAGGGCCCCCTTTCCTGTGCAGCTAGGATCGGCAGTGCGGCAGGCAGGGGGAGAGGGGGGAGAGCAGGGAAGTCCCACGAGAACAAGCCATCCCCCATACTCAGGCTTCTCAGCACGCAGGAAACGAGGAGCAGCGGGGGCCTCTGCCAGCTGGCGGCACCCTCCACCCTCGGGGTAGCTCACACCTCCTCCTCACGAGGCCCGAGAATAGGTCACAGAGGCGGCTCTCCAAACGCCGACCTTGAGCTGAGAGAGACCCATGTCCCTGAATCCCGCCTCCAGAGTTTAGACCAGTACGGGCTGGTAACGTTGGTAACGTTGCGTTTCCCAATCTAAAAATTCTTCCCAGCCTCTATGCCAAGCCTAACAGACCTCGCCAAGGCTGCCATTCCTTATGGACACGTCCCAGAGAGGTCTGTACGCCCACAGCTTCCCCCTCGCACCCTGAGTCAGTTTCACCACCCAGCACATTGACTTCCAGACTGAGGGGGACCCTTGCTTGGACCGCTCGCTGGGCCACCTGCCCAGAGCTCTGGGGGAAGAAGCCTGGAGGCGAGCCGGGAATCTGTCTTTAGAGTCATCCCAGGGGCTTCTGATGCCCGCAGTCCGAGCGGCGGCCCGCAGGCACCAACGCTCAGCTTCTCTGTAAGCCCCGGCCCTGCGGGTGCCCTGGGCAGAGTTGTGAGCACAGCTTAGGTTCCCGGGTGACTGGCTTCCAGGAGTGGGCGTCATGGGAGCCGCTGGACGCAATGCAGCCCACGTCGTCTTCAGAGACCTCAGGAGCACATCACCCTGAACCGACTCTGACCTTGAGATTTAAGTCCCCATTGGGTCAGCGCCCCAGGACATGGCTGGGGGCCGACAAGCCCTCGTGCTCAAGCCACATACAGGTTACGTGTGACACTTGTTAACCTTGCACCCCTGACTTCCTGGATGAACTGGTTTTGTTCTATTAAAAGCAGTGTTTTATATAGATAGTTTGTGGGGGTTTTTTTTTTAATATATTTTCTATGTATGAGTAGATATTTGCAGTTTTCCAATATGTTAGCTTTTTCTGTGTATTAGTAAGTGCATATGACTATGTAATAATAGGTGGGATAAGCTTGTCTAGGATCCTCAGCCTTCTCACCCCGGCTGCAAACAGTCCATATGACCAGCAGAAGGCTTTAATTCAAGCACCCCATACTCACTGCTGGGTCCCACTACCAGCTAGACCAGGGGACCGGGGCGGGGGGCCTCATCTATTGCTATCACATTCCTGGCAAACTGTAAGAAAGGACCCAATTCCCTAACGAGCCACAAAGCCATCCATAGGGGCCAGGGGTTCGAACAAAGTTTGGCATCTCAAGCCACGAAAACCAGTTAGCAATCAAGGGTAAGGGTGCAGTGGATGCAGCTGAGGGCCACCTGGGAGCTCACACTCCTGAATCGAGAGCATTCAACCTCCTACCTCCCATGAGCTATACCTGGCACATCACTGAAAAGTTTAGATGGAAACCTGTGTTATTCTCAAGTGAATTGGGTCGTCGCTCTTGATCAGAAAGATTCATACGGATGCCCCATATATAGTGCAGCTTTCCCAGCCTGCTTCTCCAACTCCAGCAGCCAGGGCTGCTGTGGTCAGGGGGACCCGTCAGCAGGGGAAGCAGAAGGTTCCCCGGGGAATCTCTTCCCTCCCCTACCCAGGAAAATTTATACAGATTAAGATACAGCCATCTCAAAAAAAAAAAAGATACAGCCATCTCATTACCTAATCTTGCTCAACTCAGATTTTTCATCTGCAAAGGAGTTGCTTTAAAGATCAAATAAGACGATAGGTCATGCTTTGGTCCAGGACCAGGCGCACCGCCAACGTTCAGCACGTGGCGGCGGTCTGGCTGCTAAGCCTGCTGGGGAAGGTGCTACTGTCGTTCTGTGTTCTGCAGAAGGCGGTCTCTTCAATATTCTTTTTTTAACCTGGTGCCCAGAACTGAAACCAGCCTGCTAGCAGCAGTGTGTCTAGGGTGGAGCAGAGTGAAATTTGAATCCATGGAGCTTTTTCCTTAAGAACGGCTGCCAAACTAGGGTCCCTATTCGGCTCTGGCACAAGTGACCTTCTGAGCTTGTTGAAAATCTGGTTCTGGTCTGGGTTCTGAGATAAACTTTCCTCATTGCCCTCAACGCCCCACAGGCTTCTTCCCAGGAAATGTTTGGAAGACAGGGAGGAAGGAAGGGAGGGAGGAAGAAGCATGTGGGGTAGGGCAAATGCTGGCTGAAATCTCTAGTCAGACGGGTCTTCATTCTCTGTGAAGCCAGGCTCCCTGGTCCAGCACACCCCGTTCCCAGCACTGGCATACAAAGAGCAGAACTGAATAACAAATAGGAACCTGCCCGATCCCCGGAGGCCTGGGGCACATCACATCTGATCTGGTGTTTCAGAATGTCCATGATTGGGAGGGGGGGCGGTTGGTGAATAAAAGTCACAAAAGGGGCGCCTGGGTGGCTCAGTCGTTAAGCGTCTGCCTTCGACTCAGGTCATGATCCCGGGGTCCTGGGGTCGAGCCCCGCATCGGGCTCCCTGCTCAGCAGGAAGCCTGCTTCTCCCTCTCCCACTCCCCCTGCTTGTGTTCCCTCTCTCGCTGTCTCTCTCTGTCAAAATAAATGAATAAAATCTTCTTAAAAAAAGAAAAAAAGTCACAAAAGCTTGTAGAATGTAGGAAAAATTTAAAATATAGTAAGACAGAACATAAAATGCAAACATAATCTTGCTTGCAGAGAAAATCACTGTTACTATTTACACTACTTCCAGATAGTCTTTTAGATAATTTGGATCACTTTCTTTTTTTTTTTTTTAAAGATTTTATTTATTCATTTGAGACACTGAGATACAGAGAGAGAGAGAGAGCACGAGCAGGGGGAGAGGCAGAGGGAGAGGGAGAAGCAGGCTCCCCGCTGAGCCAGGAGCCCAATGTGGGGCTCGACCCCAGGACCCCGGGATCATGACCTGAGCTGAAGGCAGACGCTTAAACATCTGAGCCACCCAGATGCCCCGGATCATGTTCTATATTCTGAATGTGGGTTTTACAACTTCATTTTGTTTTAATTCATGTCGTGAGCATTTTTCAGCCATAAAAATTCATTGAAAACATTATTATTAATAGCTGCCTAATATTCTCTTGTAAGGACATACCGTAATTAATGATGGGACCCTGAGTTCAGCCTTGGCCTTGATTGCTAATTAGCACCAGCCAAAGGCCAGAAAGCTACTCTTGAATTGCACTACTTCTACTTGAGTGATTCGCCATCGAGTCTGCCTGGGTGCAGCTGCTGTCTAGGCAAACGTTCCCTCACGGAGGAGAAACTCAGAGGACAAGTGGAAAGAAGGGAAAGAGCATTCCTAGCGCAGAGAGGAAACGCTTCCCACTGTTTGGTGACTTCCTGTCTCTGGGCAGATGACATTTGGCCCAGACCAAGAGACACGATCGATGGATCCTACAAGCCCCCGGCAGGCCGTGGCCGAGCAAGGGGGATTGAGCTTTCCCTACGTGCTGACTGCAGATTGACCGTGGATTGGGCAATGGGTCCCTTGTTGACTTCAGAATGTAAAACTCTTACAAGGATAAATAAGTCAGTGCCATATTGTTACCTGATTTACAGTTGCCTATTTCCCCCAGAGCAGTAGGGAACACTTCCTCTGAGGCGCAACTGTGTAAAAACCCAAAGTGCGTGTGAGCCTCACCTGGTTAAGTCATTAGGTCATGTGGCCGGCCCCTCCTGCTCTGGTGGCCCCTGGGTGATGGTGTCCAGAGTCCGGGTGAGAAGTGAGGTTTATAGCCCTGGAGGGAATTCGGGCATCCTTGTTGGAGGAATGACAGATGTGGCTGGCCGAGCCACCTGTGGGCCTTGGGAATGTGCATTTTTCTGACACATGTTCTGTTTGCAAAGCATTTGACAATGCTGAGTTTTCTGTGGGACACCGATATCACTTCCATGGCCAAAGCAGAGATGAGACTTGCCCGAGCACAGGGCAGCATTCTGTGGGGGAGTGAAAAAAAGTGAAATAAAAAGGAACACAAAATGCAAATGAGGAGAAACTCAAATGACAGCAAATTCGAAAAAATATTTAACCTCACCAGGAATCAGTGAAATGCAATGACAACTAAAATATCATGTTTTGCCTATGAAACTGAGAAAAATTATTGTAATAGAAAATTGCCAGTGTGGGCAGAGAAGATGCTCTCATTTATTGTTGGCAGTGGCATAAATTTGTATTTGATGAGGCACAAAAAACAACATCCAAAAGTCAACCCATTTGGTGGATGACTCAACACCTTGTCATGTAGCCTAAGGAAAATATCAGAGATGTCCCCAAAGATTTAGGTACAAGCATGTTCATGCAGTGTTACTTGGCAATGGCAAAATACTGAAAACAGCTTAAATGTCCCAAAATAGAGAATTAGTTAAAGGAATCATAATAATTGCATGTGATGGGTATGCCTAATATGTATATATATGTATGAATGCATGTACATACATGTACATAATATGTGTTTTGTATACATATTAGAGCTATATGTGTGACATAATGACATATATGTCAAAAGACAGAGACACAGAGAGACTGGCAGATAGACAAAGATGAAGAAGAACAGAAACAGAGAGACAAATGAGAAAGAACCAAGCACACCCAAATATTAGCAATAGCCTGCAGTCTTTCTAGCCACTTGGTGGTGGTTTGGAAAATGTTCCTTACTACCTTCATACAACCTATCTTAGCTGAAGAACAAGCCCAAAGTAAATGGATGGGGCTTTGAAACTTTGTTTAAAATGATGATCCAGGCCAGGTCTAAATGATGTGAACTACTTGTGCATTGATGTCTATTTATGGATCACAAATCTGAGGATTTCAGACATGGTGTGGGTCTTAGATTTTTTTAGTGGGAGAGTTGAGGATCTCTCTCACTTAAGTTCCCTTAACATCACAAAGGGGGAGGGCAGCATATTGTCAGTGTTTCAACAGCCCAATAGAAACCCTGTGTTCTTGGAAGGAGACGACAGAGGTGAACCCAAACCTGGACTTTCTTCGGTTTTATCTGAAATTATAACAGTTCTGTTAGGCAGGATGTCAGATCAGCAGCTCTGTAGTTGCTCCCTGACTAATAAGAGAATTGGAAGATGAATTAAATGCTACCGAGCCAAAAGCATTTGCTTAGCAGCTTGGTATGCAAAAATCTTCCAAAACAATGGGTCTCTTAAGAAAAAGTCATAAGGAGGGGCGCCTGGGTGGCTCAGTCCTTAAGCGTCTTCAGCTCAGGTCATGATCCCAGGGTCCTGGAATCGAGCCCCGCATCGGGCTCCCTGCTCCGCGGGAAGCCTGCTTCTCCCTCTCCCACTCCCCCTGGTGGTGTGTCCCTTCTCTCGCTGTGTCTCTCTCTGTCAAATGAATAAATAAAATCTT